TGTCCTGCAAGAAAATGGTGAATACATTTATTCAGAGTGATCGTTTACGGGCTCATTATTTTACATTATTTTATGGAAATTTGTATTAAATCACTTTTTATCACAGCATTGATTTTTTCACAAATCTTTCTTCGATGTTTTTCGTGTATATATGTATCGCTCTGAGGTGGCCATTACATAATTTTTAGCAATGCATATGTATATACAGACACGTATAGGTACATATAGAGATCTAGAATTTTGCTTCACCGAATTTCTATATTTCCACACACAAGAACGCGGCGAGAACTTAACGCACAGATATATATCGGCGGTATATATGTGCATTTGATATAGAGTGTAGATGAATTTTTCGGGTTTTTTAGTTTGTTTTTCTTGTTTTTTTTTCTTGATTATTTTCTGATTCTTTTTCAGTCTCTACACAGTCACCGAAACAAGAGAGAGAGAAAGATAAATTCTCGTAGATTTTGAAGAAAATTTGGCGCACACACGCATTTTGTTCGGATACTTTGGTCGGAATTTCAGCGACTTGGGATTTGAGAGGTTAGAAATGGGCAGAAGACTGGATTTGCGATCCAAGCCGATCCGAAGCGATCCGATCCGGTGCGAGATCCTTACCTCCAAGCGGGAGAGCGAGCTCAGGTCCTGGATGTACTCGATGTTCACATCGGCGGCACCGGGTCCTGTGGACGTGGCGCGGTAGGAGTATTTCGAGGAGCGGACAGCCTGCGATGACGACATGTTGCTAGGTCAGATTTTCGTGTGCTGGCGTGTATCTAAATCAATTTGCGATCGATTCGCGTCTCTAATAGTATTATGATTTGTATTTCCTCCCAAGCGAAAATCTCTACAGCACCGCACGCAGTTTTGTAGTTGTCACCGAGTCACCGAGAAAATTCGTAATAAACGTCGGAGTAAGGCTGGTGATCTACTGAACAAGAGATCCCGTTGTCGTTCGAATAAAGAGTATTTCGTTGATTTGGCCGCTGGTCGCTGGTGAATTCGTCTATTTCAACGATTTCATCGGCTCCCTTCGGCCAAAATCGGCTGCCCCTTCGGGTGGCCCGATCCCCACCGAGTGGGATATACCTCGAGATATATCTTTTACTTCTATTTTGTGAGTGGGACTTTCGAGTGACTTTTCACGCGCCCCGTGTTGTTGTGTTAATTGCTCAGTTGTGTGGAAAATTCTTTGATTCTTTTCATTTTCAGCAGCAGCCGCCGCCGCTTGTGTGTGAACGCATTTTCACGCTAGTTTGGCGGAGAGCTTGCCCCCTACGAAAATAAACTCAAAAGCCCGAAGTACGCCTGCTTTTCTTCGCTTTCCTTTCCTTCGCTTTGCTTTTCTTTTGCTTACCTGTAATTAGCCTGTGTCATTTGTGCGTTTCATTTTGTGTATCTAGCGTCTGGCCAGCATGTATCTACACATAAATTCTCCCGATCCTCTCCCGTACATATAAGTCATGTTGAAATATTTGGCAACTTCTGCTGATCATAAAGTTCATAATTTAAATTTAATGGGTAATTCTTTTCGTTCATGGACTGGGGCTATATCTTTTATTTGGCTTTAAAGCTTGTGCAAAACCTATATTTCAGCACGTAGTCCCTTGATAATAGAGTTTTGACTTAACAAGTTGTTTGAAGAACAAATTTGGGCAGCTAAAAAAATTTGTTTTCATAATTTCAAAATAACGTGACCTGATTTAAAGAACAACTTTTGTTAAGTTGTAATATTTTTTTTTAACACTTAAGCAAACATTTTTTAGAGATTTACCAGCTCTATACAAATCAATAATATCTAATCCACTTGTTCATTTTATTGGTTTAAAGACAAAATGATTATATATACAACCCTTGGCCAACTTATGCCCACAGAAACAAGCTAATCAGATTTTGAAGGTGTTACAAAATTTTTAAGCCAACAGAGAAATCATAAAAGTGTCAGTTTTTCTATGATGGGTTTTTAAAATATTCGCTAACAGCCAATTAGGATTACAGCAGCGTTTTCTAAAAATACTTGACTTTTGGCATCGAAACGTGTTATTCGCCAGCATAAATAAATAAGCGTAGAGAACGAAACAAACAAAAATATACAATTTTGAGTGAATCCTTGGCCATGCGGACAAAAGTCTGTTCAACCTCAGACAATGCGTTGTCATCTAACAATTGTTGTTCAATGGTCACGTAGCTGGCAGTCACGGTAAATATGTATTTTGGCAACCGCAGAGTCTTTCCATGCTTACATAGTAAATAGATGAATGTTTTGTAAATAATTTTGTAACATTTCGAGTGGTCTTCGTGCTTTGGTTTTCGCTCAGTTTTCCAAAGGAGCCGAAGCTTTTGAGTGAGATCTTTTCCGAGTCCCGAGCGATCTCCTCCACCTGTGCTCCGCACACAAACACAAACACTCTTGCCTCACTATACTTAAAATGATTTTTCGCTTATTTTTAGCAACCGAAATTCACGTTATTTGTGCCTTTTTTTCGGCTTGCTCATAATCGTGTTCATTTTCCACACACAATTCACCTGAGGAGAAAACGCACACACATGGATTTCTAGTTGGGCCCACCATCCTTATATATTAGAACTGTTTTTTGCTCCGTTCGCATTGGTATCTTGTAGATACTTAGCTCTGGCTGGCCATAACTTTATTTATTTTATGCATGCATATAGACAATGTTGCCGCTACTCTGTATATATAAGTGCGCGCCAGGCAGCCGTAGAATAATATTTAACATTCTGTGTGTTTGCCACATTTTGGAATGTGTAATAATTTAAAAATAACCTGGCGAATATGTAGCAAGCCGTTCGCCGATAAATAAGTCAGCCAAAAATAGAACCAAGCCAGACAACGACACCTTTACTCAAAAGCCAAAACGAAAACCAAAAATACAAGAACATAAAAAGTGCCATTCTCATCGCGATTTGGGTTCGGAATGGGAAACTCTCTGCGGATGCTTTCTCGCCAGGTGTCTGTGTGAGTTTTCCGGCCCATTGCCCATCATTTTACAGCTGCACTGAGGTCAGTGATGGGGACAGGATCCCAGTCCCATTCCCCCTTTCCCAATCCCATTCCCATTCGCATTCTCATTCCACACCCATTTTTCTACCTCCACCTCGGAACAGAAATCACTCAGCGAACGCTGGGTGTCTTCTGTTCCTTTCATGTTTCGTGTGCCAGCTACACGAAATTGGGTCAAAATTGTTATGATCACAGATACACACGCACACACGTACACTCGCACACCGCGGGGCCCGATGCTATGCAGTTATATATAGATCGACTTCAGCTTTATAGAGTGTGCCTACTTGACGGGCAGCCACTTTCCGCAAGAGACTCCTGGGTTTTCCCAGGAGTGCAGTGGAGTGGAGTGGAGTGGCTGCCAGATAAGCTCAAGTGGGCGCCATTCGAGGCTCCAACTAGGTGGGTGGTGACCAAAAAAAAATATTCCCAGCCATTAGCCATTAAAAATAGACCCCTAATGCATTCAAAACAAACAACAAAGGCTCTAATGCGTTGTAGTTCCCTGGAAAGAGCGCCACTTTGCTTCCCGGTTCTTGAGTTTTCGCGAATTTTCCATTTTCCCCCTGCCATTTGGCGTTGACAACTTCCAATCTTCCGCCAGATGATTCAGAAGCGCTGCTCTCATAATGTCAATAGCCATTGTATGGCCTGTTGACAAATCTGGGATTTTTCGTGTCCCGATGGCACCCACAATCCGTTGGCCCGATAGCTATATAGCCATATAGCCGTATGGCATCGACATCGGGCCGTGACGTGGCGCACAAATCTGACTCATTCGGATGAAAAATACGGCAAACATGCTAAGATATATTCTGCACAAGATATATGGGTGGTGGGTGCACAAAAGCGTAAAATATTCTATAATATTCGGAACCGATCTAGTTCAAGAAAGTACCTTAAACAAGGTACACTGAGTTGTAAATGCATTTGTATTTATTTATCAAGAGTTAAAGCACCTTCCTTCTTAGATAATAAACGAGGAAGGACGTAATCTGTTTATAAATGGATTCTGCATTTATAAATAGACAACCAAAATAAAACTACTTCTACCAATGCTTAGGCTATATTCTTGAAGATAAACATTTACTCTTTCCCTTGCTGATTTTCCAAATGAAAGGATCTGTCAACGGAATCATTTAATGGCAGAGCTTGCCTTAACTTTCCTTAAATTCCAAAGGGTACATATGTAAGTTAGGACTTTGCAGGAACATTTAAAAGTCACTGCTTTAAAGAGCATTCAAACTTCGGTGATTGGGATTTTTTTGATTTTGTCTCAGCGATTAATCATCAAAAATATTTGCAGATCATGATGCTAAATGCAATCGAGATTTAATTATTTTGGCCACAAAAAAATCTTTTAGACGTCTCAAATTAATATGTATGTTGCTGTTTGTTTTGCGCTAAATATTTGTCGAGTTGAATGTAAATAGTCTTAGCAGCGGTGTCATCGGAAATTTGTAAAGGCGCTTGTTCAATTAAAATAATATTCTGAGGAATTATATATGTGTTGCTGTGAGTAAACCTTTACGGAAGTAAAATTACTTGTTTACAAATAACTTATTTATAGGTTTTTATATATTACTTTTGCGAAAAGAAATTTGTGCGAAACCAAAACTACATTTTTATGAAAGCTTTTTTTTATAAGTCCTTTTTAAAAATTACATACACCTGTTTAACTATCTTAATTAAAAAAATGACTAAGCAAATATGATTTTTTTGTGGCCTTAGCTAGCACTCCAACCGACGCTATAATCACACATAGATGGCGCTTTTAAAGGCGAATAAAGAAAAATGCAACACATAGAGAGCGCTTTTTTATTTAGCTTCATAAATGTAGAATTTTGGCTTTTGGTCAATACAAGTATGTAGATAAAAGTTTCTAAATTGGATAAAAAAAACTCATATATAGCAATAGAACTAGATATCATCGTTACAAAATAAATTTTGTAATCACTGTATAAATATTTTACAGTGATTAGATTTCATAATAAGTTTTTTACTGAGTATACTATTATTTAGGTTTGTTACATATTTTTACAGAAATTTATAACATCAGTGCAAGATGAACTCGATCAGGTTGGTCAGCCGACGCCTGTTGACGTAGTTGACCAGCACGGCGTAGCCATAGCAGGTGTATATGTAGGCCCACCATTGAAAGTGGTACGGCTCCTTGGATCCTGCGCCTCCGCGGAGGCGACCAAAGCTCATGTATCCATTTCCCTGCAGGACGTAGGCGTGGTGCCTTTCGGTGAGAAGGCGGCGGAATACCGCTCCGCTCATGTAGACCACGGTCAGCAGTAAAATGATACGCCTCAGGTGCACGAGCAGCAGGACCATTGTTATTATTTTCGCCGATCTGCCGAAGTCAATTTAATTTTTCAACACTCGTTAAACAACTTCAATGGGCTCATACCCGTACGAGATGCCTGTGATCCCAATTTCACAACTCAATGTTTACTTCTGCGCTTTCCAATATATTTTTCGCATTTACGCGAACTCTTTGCAATCCAACTTATCGTTTTGTTTTCGTCGCATTTTTCGCTTGCCTCTGTGGTGGATTTATATATAGAAATCGGTGAAATATTTTGGCTGGCAACACTTGCCAAAAGTTTTCAGAACTATTTCGAAAAAGTCTACTCGAGAAGCTTTTTGTATTTGGCGGCTGAAATATTTGAAATATAAACTTCCATTATTGCAATTTGTTTACATTTTGTAATAAATTTCAAGCGAATCTTACAAGCGATGTCAGTGCTTGCCAAATCGAATTAGAATCCACTTCAAGTGGAGCATGAAAAGCCTCTTCAGATGGCTATCAGCGCTTCTGACACAAACTACCTCCAAGTACAACCATAAAAAAATATCTACAAAAATCAACAGGCTGCAGCCGATTAGAGTCAATGGGCTCAGGGATTAGATTTTAAAAGGGCGGAACGGAAGTTATTATAAAAAATGTTTTAAAATAATTATTTTCCAAGGCTTAAAAGAATGTTGATTAAAGAATAAAACTATAACAATTAAAAAAAAATTCCTCATTAGAATTTTTTCCCACCCCTGCGTATACGTAGTGCGTATACGTAATATTCCCATAAGCAAAAGAAGAAATACTTGAGACCCAGGCACGCTCTTCTAACAACAGCTCCATGCAATTCAACCTTGAAATGGCGATCAAATCCTCAGTTTAGCGGGAAGGGGCAGTCCAAACAACAACACATCCTCACATTTTGTCGAAAAAAAGCAAACAAATCCGCTTGAAGAAGATTGCAACACACAGTGAGGTTGGTTAAGAACAACAGCAAAAGGCCGGGGCAAAATACAATATTTAAATTAAATATTAGCACACCAAAACGGAGCAGATCGCCGCCTGGAAAATGGGGAAAATGTGGGACGAATGTGTGGCAATAGCCATCCATCTACGGCCGAGCGGAAAATGAGATGTAAATTAAAAAAAAACTAACAGCAACATAAACCAAAATCTATTAACTGCAAATTGGAGCTTATTGTGTTTAGCTGTGACATGGAAACTAAAATAGCGAAAAAGCCAAAATATGTTTGATGTATTAGGCTGTGTATACATTTGTGGAATGAATGTGTGTATATGTTTTTATGGACTTTTGGGGCAAGGAACCGCCTGTTGAATGTGAATTCCTATAGAGCAATGTGTTACGAAAAGGCAAACAAATTTTTATTTTAATTTCAGATTTTTGCTTAAAAAATGTAATGAGGCCACTACAGAAATAAACATTCTAAAGTGTTGCATATTTTAACTCGGTATATATATTTATCTATTATCTTTAATTTGAGTAGACATCGCGCAAAAGAGTCTGTCCAGAAATCAATTTAATGGGCACGCAAGCAAATAGCATCTGCCCATTATCTGAGATCCCTGATCCCCGAACTTGGATCCCTCCCCCTGGAATTACCACACTCGATGCGTTTTATTAACTACCGTTTGCATCGTTCCATTGCATAATCTGTCGCTGAAGGCACGCCCCCAAACGGCCGCAGACACACTCGTAAATTACAAATTTGAAAATCGTACGAAATGATTGAAAGCCCAGAGATCGGCCACTGGGATGCGGATGAAGATGGAGCTGCGTTCAGCGAGGAGATCGCATCCCATAGGAGCCGCTGGGCATGCACTGCAAACAATAAGGTATAGTTATTACATTGCAAACAATATAAGTACTTACCATGGATATTAAAATATAAATGTTATCTTTATTTTATAATATTTAATTAATCTATCAATATATCACTTAAGGTCATTCCGGAATGAAAAGTATAATAAAATCTTACGATAGAAAATACACACTTACTTTTATTGAAATATATGCCATATAAAGAGGGAATTACCATTACCTAATAATTTTTTTTGCCTGCAGCAAAGTATGTGGGTAAGGGGTTGGCATGGGGCAGCATGATTGACCGACTGCGTGGTGCACCTCGCCGTTGCTCCCGGGGATTGCCGGGTCTGACTTTTATGGCTGTCGGTGTATTTCTTTTTATTGCCTGCCCAAAATCCGTTTCTAGTTTTCCACCGCCGTTCCTCTTGATTTGTTTGCATTCAGTTTTCGGGCTTTCGGCCGCTTTCCTCCGTTTTTTCTGGGTTGCGTTGGCGTTGGCGTCTCCGCCGGGCGGCACGCACTGGGAAAATATTTGTGGAAAGCATGCGAAATGCACGCCTGTTGTGGATCTTTTATATTTTTTAATGCAGCGCTGAAAGCTATTTGTATCTGTCGGTCAGATTGGGTTAAGAAGCCGCCCCTGCGTGTCTTTCGTCAAAGTGTCGAGCCACTTGGCCGGGGGCTATTAGCCCATTGATGCCGATGCCATCGGCTTTTCCTCCCTTTCCTATTTCCCTGGTAATTTAGCATCTCTGTCTGATTTATGGCTCGAAGGCGGCGGGCGCGGGCATTCTATTTCACTTGAATGCTTTTTGGCATTTTGCGCATATTTAGTTTAAATGTTTTCACTAAAGCCAACGAATGCCAGTTTTATTTCGTGTTTGGACGTCATCTTTTTAGCCGCACGTTTCCGGTGACTGCCGGCAGCAGTGGCAACTGCAAAAGTGGCACACAGATTTTTATTTTTAAAACCAGAACAAATATGCGATATGTGTCGTCGTCTTCTGCTTGTGATATCTGTGATAGTTTCCCCGGCTGGTCTCTGATACACAGATGAACCGAATAATGCCTCAGGGCAGAGGGTAAGTAGGTAAGTAAGGGGAATCCGTGCTATTAGGAGAATCCAAACAGGGGGAACAAAGAAATCAATAAGAAACAATTAAAGGATAGTATACATTGTTCATGCGTATTTCTAATTGGTTTGGCGTCACCTTAACAATTTTTTATAAATAAATTATTTGATCTTATATTGATAAGATTTGGTAAAGAAGTATAAGTTCTTCTTTAGTGTAATGATACTGTAAATAGTTTGTTAATTTAATTTAGAATTATTTTGCTTATATCTCATTTGGCTAATCTTACAGGTCATTTATTTCGTAATACTCATAACATCTATGAGCTCTCTTGTTTGTTTGAGCATATTGTAATTTTCACTTTTCTCTCTAGACAACGTTTAATCAAAGGGGACACCTCATCAGGTTGTAGACTCCCGTCAAAAGTTGGCCTCCCTTTCGCCGTCTTTCATTCATGGGAACATGATAGACTGCATCTGTATCTGTAGGTGACAATTATCATTTGCATCATACATACTTTTTTGTGTCTTTTTCTGGATACCCCAGAAATGGTTCTTCACCCTTCCACTCTTCGATTAGTCACCGATGCCAGAAATATTTAAATTAAATTATTCGACCAATAATAGACGAAAATAGCTAAGAAGGAATGAAGCGGTCAAATAGATGCAGAATGTTTTCGAGTTGCATTTTATGAGCAATAAAAGAATTTTTACGCATTTCCTTACATTGCGGTAGTTGAAATCGAGAAGCTGGCACATATAGCCGGTTGGCCGATTTCTGTCAGATATATATGCGGAGCAGATACACACAGGAATGGGAAAATATAATTGAAGACGGGATGAGGCTTCTGATGCTCTTTGTTATTGTTTTCCTGAGAAATAAAAAATACATTTTTTAGAAAAAAAGACCATAAGCTTTTATTCCAAACAAATTTTAAAGATAAAATAATTTAAAAAATTGTGTTTTTTTAGTTTACAATTGTCCTTTTAAGAGAGAGACCATTCTAAGTTGTCCGTCCAAGGGAGAGTTTGCCTAGATAATATCAATTTGCTGAGTTTTATACCCTCATAAAGAGTATGTTGAGAACTTTTATTATTTCTGTATTGCAATTTACAAACGCAGCGATGATCGGCGGAGGAGAGCCGGCAGAATCTCCCCGAGCTTCTTCTCCGATTCTCTCGCTTGCCGAAAATACACGCACAGCCAAAGCGAGAGAGACGGAGACTTTCCTCCGCTCAGCTTTTCACGCAATCCGGTGCGAGGAAAAATCTCAGCACGAAAATATTTTCACAGCGGCCAGACAGTTTTCCTTTGACAACGCGCCGAGTCGCACACGCTTTTCCTCAGGGTTCGAGATTCGATTCGATGCGATTCGATTCGCCGTGGGCCCAAAAAAATCGAGAACTGAAAACAAAAATCGCGTTCGCATGCGACAAAATCTTTCGGCGAGTGTGTGAATGTTGCTAAATTTATAAATAACAGCTTAAGTTGTGCTGCTGCTCCCAAAGTAAATCGAAATAAAAGCAAAAGTGATGCGTCCGTCGCTTCGTGAGGAAAGCGTAGATGGAAAATGGGAAAATAGGAAAATAAGAAAAATATCAACGCATAAATAAAGCGCTGCGTTCGCGTCCGATTCTGTCGCATTTGCCGGCTGCATTCCCAAATAGATCGGGGCGCTATAGGCTATATTTGCTTGAATGCCCGTAGGCACCGCGGTATCGGTCGGTACTCACATATAGAGTATATCCCATATCCCAAATAACCTGGCCGGTGCGTGCCGGTGGATTATGTAAAGTGGCACACGGCCGATCCCAATAGCTCGGGATAACACCGAACGCGAAAAAAACAAAGGAAATAAGAGTTCAGCGGAGGAATGAATATAATGAAAATAAAATAGGGGAATACAGAGAGTGTCGTAGAAATTTGTCGCACGCGCGCGATTTCAGTAAGTGCATCTAATTTATTTTGCATCTATCGCAATTGAGAGCCGTTCGGCGAGTGCATCCGCCAGATACGTTTTCGTAATTGTCGTCAGTGGTTCGAGTTGCTCCGTTTCGATCGCGCGAGTGCCTGCCAGATTGGATTACCGACCAGGCCCAAAATAAATTATTCAATTTTTGAAGGCACCAAGGCAAATATTGTGACCGGATCTTGATCGTTGGGCAATCAACGATCTAGGATCGCCTGCCAAAAGCAACGTAATGTCGTCCTACCGCAGTTATGTAAGTTCTAGTTAATGCAGCGCCAACTATCCGTATCTGTATCTGCTATATATCTACTATATAGTGTGTATCTCGATCTGTGTTTCTTTGCTCGGTGCCTTTTTGCAATTCTTCGCATCCACGGATTTTGTTTATTTCTAATTTGTTGCCTTACCTCATGTACACGACGATTTGGCAGATACACAGACTGCCAGATAAAATGTATCTGAGCGCTTGCTCTCGCAGTTGTGAGCTCCAGTTCCATTGATATTGATAAACAATTCAAACACAAATTTGCTCGTTGTCTGGTTTTCGGTTTGAGTTCCTATTTAGTTGATTGTTCTAATTTCCTATCCATACAAAGTGCTCAAATTATGGCCGAGGTGTGGCTACTGAATGGACGAATGGTTTAGTGTTTGAATAGCAAACAAATGCTTGAATAAATGGCTTTTATTTTAGCAGAGCAGGTTGAGTGGCGAATTTCAAAAGTATTTAATTTGATTTATGCTCGTATTTATGTATGCAAAATGGTTTTTTTTTTGAACAGTGAGTAATTTCAGTGCATTTTTCATTCATGGTACTGAAAATTGACAAACAGTTCTTTACTATTTATTTTGATTTATTTATCTAAACAGATTTCCCATTCATATTGTTGAACTTTTGTAAAGAGGTCGATTTATTTGTACTTTAAGTGCAATGTAATTGTTGAAAAATGGTTCTTATTTTAAAATCCATACTACAAAATTAATTTCAAGCTTATAATCCTAAAACAGCCACTTCATTTTGGTTGTCATTCGCCTTCTTTAATCACTTTTCTCCTAATCCCCACTCATGTTCAAGTCATTATATCCTTTTGTTCCCAGCCAGCAAGTTTATGACTTTTCCCTGACTTCTGACTCATTGGGCATAAATCAATTAAATATTTTTCGGGTCTCAAAATCTAATAAACTGATCAATTTATGGGCGGCAAACAACAAGTTTCTGCCCCCTCCACTCCACTTATTCCACTGCATCCCATCCCGAGTCACTTCTCCAATTATATTTAGAATGTTTCTAAAAATGTTGGGAGTAAAGCAAAATGATTTCGGCTTCTTTCACGTTGTCGCAGTCTTATTTTTCTCGTTGGAGTTGGTACTCTGTTGAGGATTTTTATGGCCAGGAGGAAGTTGTAAATATTTATGACACACATAAAGTTGAAAGTTCTTCGGTGAGAGCCGCGGAGCACGCACCACCTAATTAATTAACAAAGTGTGAATATTCATGCAATTTGTTTTGTGGGGGGAAAGTAGGTGGAACTTAAAGGAGTAAAAAAGAAAGGGAGGAGCAGAAAAAGTTTCCTTTATAATTATCTTTCAATTATACAAAGTACTCCATGAATTTTTAATCAACTGTCTTACAAAATTGTTAAATTTCATTTATAACAAACTGGAAATACATTTAAAAAATTAAATGCATAAAGAATGCAGTTGAGCAACTTTTAAATTTAAATATATTTTAGACACTCTTCCAAACTAAGAATGCCATCAACTTTTTTAAAATTTGTGCGATCAGGTTTCATTTGTATCACTCATCAAAGCGTATCAAAATTTGTTTGTGTTTAGCAATAAGGAAGGCGGTGCTAGGTGCTTCCCAAATAGGCTTCGAGATCAGGATTTTAATTGAAGTTAACTGAGTCTGAGATTACCCACCCACGCACACACAACCGCCAACTGCCACCCAACCACCCAACACAATCACAAGGACAGGATAGTTTTTAAGAAAAATCATAAAATGCCACGACGACGACGTCCACGTTGCAAGGTGAATCCTTCGATAGCGCTGAGGAAGAAGAACCAGGAGAGTGCCGCCAGTCGGGCGAAGGGGGAGTCGCCACCACCACCACCTCCGCCACCACCGCCGGATCCGCCCGGCGAAGAACAACCGGATCCGCCCAGCGAAGAGCCGCCGGAAGCCACCTCCTCTTCGAGCGGAGATGCCGGAAACGAGATGGACTACAAGCTCTTCCCGGAACTCTACGATCGCCAGCCGCCGCTGCCCACATTTGCGGATGTATTCGGCCAACCCTCGTACGGAATGATGTTGCAGGGCTCCGACTTGACCACGCCCCCTTCGACGTCGCAGGCGGCGGGAATCCGGAGTACGCCGGATGGCAAGTTCAGCAACATTCCGTCCACGATGTTGGGAGATCGATTTGGGATCATCGGACTCTTGGCCGCCATCAGAACCACTCAAACGGATCCCAGTGCCACGCAATTGGTCTTCGGCGAGGACCTGACCACCTACGGATTGGATCTGGCCACCCAGGGGGACATCTATGTGCACTTCAATGGACCGCTGACCCGCGAACCGCCGGAAAGGAGTTCCATGAACTGCGCCCTCGAGCTGGGAATGCGGGCCATGCGGGACTCGATGGATCGCTATCCCCAGCAGCCGCCAAGTTGGGATCCCCTTGAGCCGGACCCTCGACACCTGGGCCTTTTGGTCGGCGTTCCCCAGGATCAGGGCAAGAAATCTGAACGGGTAACGAAGAAGGATCCGCCGACAGCGACAGGTCAAACTAGAAATCCGAAAATGGATCCGGGAAGAAGTCAGGAAAGCTGATATCTATTTGAGAATCAGGGACTGAACCACGTCGAGGATAAAAAGATAGACTAGTTCGGATAGGATATCAACTTGGCAGTTGGATAGGTCTTTGAGAACTTGGTAAAATTTGTGATTTTCGTAAGTTGTGTAGCCGTTCCATACAAGAACATTCTTTGGCTCTAAATATAGAATCGGCTTAGGATTTAAGCATTGTGTTTTATTGGCGATTACTAGTATGTAATAAATAGAAAGCTTAAATATTCTTTGAAGAACTGACAGAAAGATCACATTTATTAAAATTAATTTAAATTAAGTTGGGCGAAGATCTAAATATGTTTTTAACTGATAAGATCTCTAAGTGCAAATTATTCTGATATTTATATTTATTATATTTATTTATAAACGTTTTTTTCAATTATTCCTTCATTATTAACAACCCTTTGATTTAAAAAAGAAAGTAATATATAATATAAAGCTTTTATATTATTTTACACGTATTTTGTTTTTTGATATTTGTTTATAAATCACTTTAGATAGTTCGTTTAAAATTGCGAAATACTTTTTTATCTCGCAAATTTCACTTTACAACCGGCACATTTCTGTTTTTCGAAACGCATTTTCGACACTTTTGACAGAGCGAACTAGAAAAGCATTTAAAAATAAATCATTTGTCTGGCACGCGAATGCGAATATGCGAATTCAGTGGGCACTTCGAATCATCTGGGGTCACAGTCTAAATACTCTGTGAGTGGAAGGCTCTCCTGGCCGTGCTTTATGGGCCGTGGCTACTGACAGACAGGCGCATTATAGCGCATCCTGCTCCTGATCCCCTTTCTCCTGATCCCCGATCTCCAATCCCTAGACTCTCCTAATTGAGACCGCATAATAACGCTGTCAGAAGTGCAGCACTCTTCTGGAATCGGCGGTGAACAAAGTACACATGGCGGAGCCATTCCAAAGCAGATCCATAGAGCCATCCACACGATCATCCGGCCCTCTCCTCCGGCTGAGTGTCTCCGTTTGCTTGTTTTGCAGATTGTTGGCTATTTGTGTGTTTGGCATTCCATTTCACTGAGCGAAAACAATTAGCCGAGACTGTCTGTCCGTCTTCCTCGCTCTCTCTCGCTCGCTCAGCAATTCTTCACATGGGCGGGCGCTGCAAAATGTAATAATAATATTTTTATTCCCGGTTGGTTGTCATTTGCCGGGATTGGCGCCACTTGGGACGGGCCCTATTTTAAGTGATTTAAGTCGAGAAATTCCAATGGAGATTTTTCATGGGCAAATTCCACAATAATCTTGAGAGTTCATCAAGGGCTAAAAAAATTGTTTTAAGATTTTTCCAATAAAAGTTTATTTAACGAAAACAAGCATGCTATATTTCACATTAAAAACATCATTTAACAATTCTTTAAATTAAATTGTAATTTAAGAAAATAAATAAGACAAAAAACAAAGGCTAGAAATGTGTAGCAACTGTGTGTGAACAGAAATTTAATATTTCATAATTGAAAATTTGTTTTAAAACGAGGCCTTCGATTTTTAGAATCTTTTTGAGTGAAAACTTTTGTACAGAATAACATTGTGATACACAAGTTGAAAGAGAGGTTCTTGTTTCCATATCATTTCTTTTGCTCATTAAAGATAATTTACAATAATTAGCCGAAATCGGTTGTGCTGCCAAAAATCTTTAAACCGGCGACACGAGTTTTGCAATGTTAAATAGGCGTCCGATCCTCAAATATATAGTAGGCAAAATCTGTCAACCTGCAGCACCTCCCGCGAACCGACATGCAATCCTCAATGAAAAAAGGGCAAAGTGGTTGGGGCCCCCACAATTTTCATCACATACCCGAGGAAAACTCAACGTGTCTCGATGGGCGAGGGCAGTCTTCTAATGCGCTACGGCCGAGATTAGAAGGCAGATGTTGAAATAATCGAAATGAATCTGTTTACACGTCCAAATTAATTGAAAAAAGCGTGCTACAGCGCCATTTAATTGAAAATGAAATAGACGCAGCAGCAGAAATCCCGAACCGAATCGGAGGAAAATGCATTGGGCGAGTTCAAAGAGGCAGCAGTCGTAACCACAAAAAGTCGATCGGGGGAAAATTAGGGGGCTCTGGTATTCTTTGGCATCCAATGTTGCCGTTGATGCTCCGATGTGCCGAGGTTTGCCGATGATGATGATGTTCCTCTGTGGCTGACGATGATGAAATGCGTGCGAATAATTGTCGAGTGCACAGCTCATTGAGAAAATTCCCCTGCAAAATGGAAAATGGAAAACGGAGAAGGTGGTGCTGCTCCAGGCATCAAATGTGGGGCTGAATGTGGGGCAGCACTTTGTTTTGGTCTTATTTGGCTGGAGTCAATTGCCTTCGGACTCTTAGAGCGCCAATCAATCAAAGCCATGTGATTGCCTATCAGTTTCAATTTCTATTGAATGGCTGCATGCACATTTTTTGCCACAAAACCTCGCAGGCCACAATGAGCTATAAAGCAATCACTCACTTACTTTTTACTAGTAGTACTAACTGGGAGAATGAGTTTTAAATTAAAATTAGGTTGGCTTAAATTTAAATTTGGTAAGTCATTTTTATTAGTCACCTAATAAATATTTTAAGGACCTCGTTTCATTACAGGAAATTCGTGGGCATCAGTTAAAAAAGTTCACAGATTTGTGACTTAATTACATAATTAATTACTATTTTAAATTACTTTGGAACTGTACCAGAATTTCGTTTCTTTATGTTAGTTAAAATATAATATCTTTTCTCTTTTTAGACCCCCTGGAAAACAAGCTTGGGCAGTTCCTATAAGCCTGGCAGCTCTTCGGTGGGTAAACCAAATCATTTACTAAAAAACTTGACTAATTTTAAACTTTTTACCCATAGTATGGAACCTCTGCAGACTCCACATCGCGGTACACTTCCTTGGCCACGCCCAGTTCCTACAGACCCTCGTTTTCCGGAGGAACCTACCGCCTTAAAAGGGATCCACCTCCACCAGCCACCACAACCACTCCAGTTAGTAGTTATGTCAGTCGCAATGCAAAGACAGAACCCAAGGAAGCAGCTCCAAGTGAGAGAACCAGTCCTGTTAAAAGATATACTGGTGCGACAACCAGTTCCCTGGGAAAATACGGACGATCTCGGGATCCCAGTCCCGTGGCCTTGGAGCACACGAATCGCAATAAGTCCCGTGATCCCAGTCCCGTGATCGAAAGTGCCCGCAGTAAATTAGGAGCCACATATCGTGGAGGTAACACCCCTACCTCCAGTTCATCCTCTTCGGCCACCAGAAATGCTTACAGCAATCGATATGGAGCTGGTTCTCGGATCGCGGGAAATGGAAGTGCATTATCTTATTTAACCACCAGTGATTTTCATGCCAGAACTGCCAGTAGAGCTAAGGCGAGCAGGGAGAAGGAAAAGGAGAAGGAAAAGGAGCTTGAGATTGAGGAAAAGCCCACAAATACCTCCAATGGAGGGGATAAATCTCCCGAGAAGCAACAGGAAAGAAACACAGAGACGGAAACAGAAGCCAATGAAACATTCATCACAGTTTCCGTGGTTACAAGAGCCACATCACCCACTCTACCGGGCAGCACCACAGTACAACGAACTCGTCGCATTGACCCAGCCAAAACCATCGAAAAAACCATCCAAAGATCAACAAAGAAACGAGAGACAGTTGATCAGGAGATTCAGTCTGATAGAATGGACGATTCAACCCGATATCTTCGTTATAGTGCGGGTAGCAGTTTAAGTTCAAACTACAGTCCACATCGGGATAGGATTAGTAGTCTGAGGTACAGTGCAAGTCCCTTGAACAGTTCAGCATCAGCGAAGTCCAGTTCAGTGGGTGAAGTTAAGCAGATTCAGTCGATTCCAGAGGCTGTATCACCAGCAAGAAGCATTGGCTCCGCCAAATCTTCAGAAGCTTTATCCCCGCCAAGAACAAATGGAACCATAAGTTCAGGGAAATCATCCGAAGCTCTATCTCCACCCAGAAGTAATGGCTCTGTAAGCTCATCGAAATCACCAGAAGCTGTGTCTTCACCTAAAACAAATGGCTCTTTAAGTTCCTCAAAGTCCTCGAAGTCAAAGCTTTCACCACCGAAAGCAATAAGGTTAAACTCCCGCCAATCGTCAGTGGAGAACCTGGTGAACAAACCACCTGCACCACCCAGCAAGGCGGATTCACCCACTAAAACCTGCAGTTCCAGCTCGGGAAGTTCGGCGGTCAAGTGGCCCAACAAGGACTTCCGAAAGTCCTCACTAAATGTGGGACCTACAGACAGACCTCGGAAGTCACGAACTCCGAGTAGTGGTGGTGAGTCCGAGGATCTACCCAATGGAAGCAGCCTGGAGCGATCACCAAGTGCTGGATCCGAGGGAAGCCTAGCCTCGGCTAGTTCCTCCAAGAAATCCAGTAAGCTGAGCAATGGCAAGATACCAGGTGCTCAAAAGCCAAAGAGCCACAAATCCTGCAGTGAATCGACCACTGGCAACTCATCCTCGGCCAACGCCTCCGCTTCGGATAGCGAGCATCGGGTCAAAACGGTGAAGAAGCAGCCCAAAAAGAAGGCCACCAAAGAGGGTGGCAAGGCCATTGTCACCTCGAACGCCCACAAGCCAAATAGCACCACTGAATCACCGCCAGCGGTGGTTGAAGAGGTGCCAGCAACGCAGACAAGACTGAAGAAACTCTCGGCGGTATCGAATTTTTTCGCCAACCGTCAGCAAGACGCAAATAACGAGCCGATATTCCTCGAAAGCTCCGAGAGCTCTGGCGAGCCGGAGGCTCTTTCGCTGCCGGTGATCTCGAAGATCTCGAAAATCTCGGGGATCAGTCTGAATACAGATTTGCGAACGAACGAACCGCGAACGACGCCGTCGAGCGAAGCGAAACCCTCACCCGAAACGAATTCCCTGAGTTCGAGTACGCGTTGCCCGCGAGAAAGCACGGAAACCACGGGAACCGGGACAAGATTGCCCACCAGCACGATCAGCACCACCCAGGATACGAGTCTCACAACCACGGCCAGCTTAACCACCTCCGAGCAGGACGATCCCAGTTGGTGGCAGGACACCAGCTTACAGATAAATACGGCCTCTGCTTTGGATCAAAACAATCGAGGGGAGATGCCTCCTTACAGGTTGAGACATATCGATTCTGGGGAGGAACAGGCCTGGTGGTTGCGTCATGATGACAATGGCGATGATGACGATACTCTGGCGGAGGAAACTCTGAACCCCCTAGATGACGATGCCCAGGAGGTGAGCAAGGCCACTTGGTGGAGTCAGGAGGAGCAGGACTCGAGCAGTCAGGTGAAACTGATGCCCAGGAGCAGAATAACACCTGAGAAGGATGCGTGGTGGCTGCAGGAGGAGGAAACTGAGGCGTCCCCCAAAGAGAATGGCGATCTGAACAACAATAGCGAACCCCATGTAGAGGTGACCTTAAGATTGCCTTCGAGTGGCAGTCAAAGAAGCTCCAAGGGAAGTGGATCAAAAAGTGCCGCCAACTCCAAGAGCGGTGGCTCAAATCCCTGGTGGTTGTCCGGACCTGCTAGAAAAATGTTCAATGTCCAGCGCGTGGAGTCCGGCGAAAGAGCCTGGTGGCAGGAAGAAACCGAAGAGGCACCTCAAGAGGAAAAGGAGAACGAACCACCGCCGGTGAAACCACCCACACCACCACCGCGAATTATAAGACATTGGGAGTCCGGTGAGCGGGCTTGGTGGTTACAGGAAGACACCGAGGAACCTGAACTTCCCAAGCAACCCACCAGGGATTATGAAGAGCAACCAGTAATGATGGTGGGTCAGCAGATCTCCAAGGACGAAGTGGACTTAAGGCTGGCACCACCGCCAGTGATTTCCCATGAGATGAGCACCTCGTTCAACTTCGATGCCTATTCAGAGAGACCTCCGCCTTTGGGTCAATGTGCCAGTCCGGTGAGATGCCCCTCGCCCTATGACAACATTCCAAGGTCACAAGTGCAGGAGCTGCCAGCACCACCCATGCCCACTTTGACCCCCCTGCAGCCTCGCTTTTCACCCCAAACAAGGAGGGTGGGCGAAAAGCTCTTCATTTCCCGGCATCAGAACATCGATGAACTGCTTGGAGGTGCCTGCCGACCCCTTAGTCCACTGTTCTATGGAAACGCGAGTCCTGCGGAGGCTGAACTCACTCCGTTGGCCAGCAAGAATATGTTCCTGCTCGAGGAGGTGACACCTGACCAGGTGCGGATCCACGACAGCACTGCCCAACTGCCGGTCATCCAAAGAATGCAGCGGTAAGTTCTACTTGGATTTTTCATAAAAATATAATATTATATCTGAGAAGTTCCCTTCCCAATTAACTTTACATTGTTTTTAAAGGAAGAACAAATTTAAAATCCACTGATTAATTTCTTCGAAAATGTTTTTTTAGTAAATAGGAAAGGAAAGGAAATTCCAAGGTCTTTAGTAGGTAGAGAACTATTTTCTCAGGTGCCATTAGTTGACATTTTTTTTAAGATAAATGGTTAATAGGGGAACCTCATTAGACATATATTCTTATAAATATAGTGCCAAATAAAAAGCTTTAGGAGAGAGCTTTTCGTTTGTTGTGTGGTGAATTTGCTCAACATGTGGTTGCTTATCGTTCTCTCTTGATCTTGCAGCGACGTCGAGTGGTTGGAGAACGGCAGCAACTTTTACGAGCCACCCAAACAACAGCAGCAACAACAACAGCATCAGCCGCGCAGGGTAAGTGTCCAACCACCCAACCACTACCCCTTGGAATCCCCTAATTTCAAAGCATATTGCAAGCGATTTGGCAGCCTGCCCGTCTTGTTTCGATATATAGACTGCCGCCCACACTTCGGTTTATTTATACAGATACCCTTAGTTGGAGAAATATATGTCTGTTGGAGTATATTCGTTCCATATGTGCTTTGTCTTTCATTAGGTTTAAGAATATTAAGTTAAGTAAGTGCTTCTTCAGATTTTCATAAAGCATTTATATGGTATTATAAATACAAAAAATAATGGCATTTATTATCCTATAATCTGGCCTTGGCTAATTCAGTTTTTATTATTTATTTTAAATATAAAAGAGTCAACGTCTGATCTTAAAGCAAACAAACACTGCATATAAGCCTCATAAAACCCCATTTCCTTCTTACTATTCTCCTGTATTCCCCAAGATTTAATTACTAAATGACCTCACTTACCGGTAGATATATTGATAAGGCCAGACTCCCAGCCCCCTTTGACGCCTTTCACTTATCGCAGAACTTTTGACACTCACCGCTCGTATCGCTTACCTGCAGCTGGTTGATCGGTTTTAATATCTGGAATGACAAAGGGCAAGGCAGTTGGAGCCGAGGTGCGCACCCACACCCAATTGAACGCGGTGGTGCAGTGGTGCAGTTATCACCTCCGGCATCGCCTGCCAGATTCGGTCTTGAGTGACAGCCCTCAAGCGGTCGAGGGGGCCGAGGGGTCGGGTTCTGTGACTCAGCCGCGGTTCGCAGGCTCTCTTGTATTCTGAAAATACAAAAAAAAAGAAAACAAATCACAAACAATAAGAATGGTGTGGTTAAGTAGTCGACTATTTGATGTTCTATAATTGTAATATTTTCTTTGGATCTTAAACTGACAAAATCAAAAAATAAAAGAAGATGACAATCAAATAAGTAGTATTTCTCCAGTTGGAAACTTTTCAATTCGTAAAATCCACAATAAGTGATTTAAATTTTACGAAACAATTTTGAGTTCTTAAAAAAATAAAGTTTTGTTAAACTACATGCTCAATTCAATGATATGATATGATTTTGGTAATATAGACTACCTGAACTACCCTTTTCCACCTTAAAAGTCGAGGGTAAATGCAAATACAACAAAGCGCAGCGATGTCAGAACAAAATGCGGAACAGCCAAAGCGAATGAAAACATGAGCACACAAATTTTATCTTAATTACATTCAGTCGGCGGCTTTGGGGCTTCCTTCCCCGGATTCGGATGGCGGATCCGGAGATCCAGAGTCGCGCTCCAGTTTGATGGCCAACAAAATAACAACGCGCATTAACACCAACGAGGGCCGGGGAATGAGAACAACTCTCGGCTAAATGGGTCATAATGCAATTAACATGAACATAAAGCCAAATCGGGGCGAAAGACTGTAAATGTATATTCGAGGGGCAAATTTCGATTGCAAATATTTGTTTATTCATTTCGCTCCTTATGTGCAGAATACGCTTAAGCAATTGTTGACTTTGTGCCGCCAAATGTGGCCATAAAACGCGACGCCGAGCATTAAAAATCGAAAGTCCATTCAACTCGCCATAAAAAATACTTACTGAGATTCCCTAGAAAAGCTTTGCGTTCTCACCTCTGAACTTAAATGAGTCGCTAACCAAAAATAGCAAATGGCATTGATGCGTGGAAACCAAAACAAAGGCAAAAGCAGAAATTACCCAAATTACATTATAAGATACATTTAGTTTCGTTTATCGCAGCTGCGAAAAAAAAAACAAATGAACACATCAAAAACATTGCGACGATTTGTGGATGACTCAGGTTTACAAAGACCCCTTTTCCCCAATCCCCGGATGCTGTCTTCGGTTTCTTCTTCAAGGCAATTGTCGTGTTTTTTTCGAGCAGACACAACTATATTATCAGTTCTTGTACTTTTTATGGAGCTCACTTTTTAAGCTTGAATCGGTGTTTGATAATGGAGGCAATTGTTTGTGCGAGTGACGATTTTGATGGCCTTTGGGGAAATCTCTAGCTATGAAGTGTCAAAGAAACTTTTCGTAAATTTTTATTTGTTTTTTAAAGAAATCTAACAGGTTAATAACAACTCATCTTATAATCTTCACCAATACTTGTGTTGAAACAAACTATTAGGACATACTGGTAAATATTTTCATAAAAAATTGACTGCATTTTTTCCTCTTTCGATTGCTGGCCAAAATCATTGGCATTTGCAACTATCGATTTGCGACTAAGTAGCATATCGAAAGTACGCCCATTAGTCGCCACCCCCATCCACCGCATTCCCGCCCAATGGCACTTGTAAATCAGCTGCCTGCACCCAAAATTCATTGCCTATAATCGCAACCTTGCAACAACACACCCACCGCGAAAAGTCAGCGCCCATCGAACAGCGGGAGTGCTGCAGTTCCCGGCATAAAGTCCGGCTAATGATAGGCTAACGCTCCATCAACGATAAGGCCAAATTGTGGCACACGCGCTACCCGCCGAGCTATTTTTAGGTCCCCCCCCATGTGGCATACTGCAAGTTGCAAGGAGCACTGAGCGAAAAAATGGTTCTAAGCCACACCAAATTAGGTACATTTTATAATGTTTCCAAAACATACCTAATTTTTTTAGTTTTGATTGGTATTTAAAATTTTTATTAACTGTTTTATAAAAAAAATGCATTTATAAACCCACGAGATTTTTTTTTGATTTATTTCAAATATTTTTAGTAGTGCATGTTCAATTAGAGGGACAAACACCAAGTACCAACAATGTTGCAGACACTTACCTGACCACACTCACATAAGCGACCAACACACTTAAAACAAGATAAACTCACCACGCTCGCAACCTGCCCCAAGCGCCTTACGTCTTACCAAACGTAAGAGACTACGAGATATAGTAAGACAGTGGAGACAGTGGGGCAGATCCAATACGTATAGGTCATAAAGAGAAGAGTGGAAAATAAAGCGCTAAAATACGTTCTAGCGGATTATAAGTTGTAAGTTGTTTAGTGCCCTAAAGTTATATTAAATAAATGTAACTCATACGCCATGTTAGCCATCTTAACAATTTCTATATAAGATCATTTTGCAATGGGCTATTATATTAAATATATTATATTATTATTAGTAGGTATATATACAAAATATTGACTTAAAAATTGGTATCCAAAAAAATGCTCATCCGCCCTGTTCGCTAAGTGAGTTGACTAATTTGACCAAATTATTGATTATTTGACCAAAGATTACATAATAATGAAATATATATACTAATTAAACAACACTGAGTAGCGAATCTTTAGAGTACCTCGTAAAATAAAGTATTCTACTTCGGTTTGCCCCACTGTGCTTCCTCTTACCTGTACCTGTACCTCTACTCTAGTCTTACGTAGTGACTGCCACTCTCTCTCTCTCTCTCTTACGCGTTATCTCTCCCGCTCTCTCTCAGCCGCTTCTTCTTGCACTTTTGGCGCTGCCTTCTTCTTGCTCCACCGCTGTCTTCTTCTTCCTCTTTTTCTTCCGCTGCCTTGGCGCTCGCTTTTTTCAGGCTTTTCAGTTAGTTGCCTTGCGAGCGCGCTCAAGTTCAGTCGCTTCGAATTCGACGCGGGTGGAAAAGCCCGAAAAAACACCGTGAAAACAAAAACAAACTTCGCTCAGCTGCGCGCGTCGCGTTCCCCTGTATGTGTGTGTGTTATTGTTGTTGTGGGCAACGTTTATAAAGCTTAAACTGCCTTAGTTGCTAACAACAATTTGGTAATTCGAAATGCTAAACAAATTCAGAGTGATTAAGCCAACGAAAAAAAAAAATAACGAAACGGCGATAATTGTGCGAAGCGAATTTGTCGAAGAGGCGGAAACGTCGTTAATAATAAGCAGCCAACTAGCCCACATATAATTGCAATTTGCCTTAACGATTATTGATTTTTTGGCGTGTCACTGTGTCAGTGTCAATGGACAACATAATCCGAAAGATTCGTCTTAATTGAGGTCCCACTGTGGGCGCCACTCCACATCCGAGCTCGAAACACGGCTCTTTGGTTCAGTGTCAAAAGTTCTTCAGTTTGGGGAACAGCTGTCTCTTTGTATGGTGTTAGTTGCATCTCCCTCTTTGTTGGACTTCCTTTCTGTTATTGGAGAAGGACAACAACAACTCACACCTATTGAGGATCTGTCCCTGCGAACAAGAAGAAGCAGTTGGAGCCACATAGCAAATAGTGGTAGTAAAAATTGAAATATACGAAAAATAAAGGAAAGAGATAGACTGGGAAGCGCAAAAGCCCAAAACCGGAATTGTGCAAATAAATCTTGATATAAGTCGAGGTCCCAGGCTTCTTTCTTCTGCTTTGGCTCGTTTTCCGCAAGGAAGCAAATCTTCGGCGAAGATTTTGGCAAATTACGAGCTGCGAAATATTGTTTATTTTCGACCATTAAAGGAAATTGCCCCCACGGGCGTTAAGTGATCGTGATTTCTTTCTCCCGCTCTATGAGTAGTTTCGCCTTAGTAAATGCATCGCCATCTGTCACCTGGTAACCCACAAATTATTGACAGTAATTTAGCTCCATTGTGGTGCTCCAAATACCAAGGGCCTCGACTGTCGCTCAATTAGACTTGATTGCATTATATTACACTACACTCCACACACCACTCCACACTCCATATAAACAGTCGCACAATCAGGCACATGACCAACTCAACTAAATCCAACCCAGCCAGTACTAAAACATATTCTAGTTCTTCTCCTCTTCCCTAGCACTTATTTACTTTTTAATATGCAAATAAAGAATGCTGTGGAATTTATTATGGCGAAACAGAATAAGTTAATTCAGTTAGCTCTATCTGCTGTGCAAAAAACTAAAATAAAAGAGCAGCTGTGCGAGGGGGCGGCGGGGTTGTGCAAACCCCATTTCAACGCGGTTAGAGCGCTAAGTACGAAGTACAACACAAGAGCTTCTATTTAGTTATAGACACAAGCATGGCGAATTACAGTCTCTTGTGAA